CCAGCATATCATGTGGAATTGGGAACCCACCATTGCACAGTCTTGGTGGGAACTACCCTGACTCAAATAAATAATGCTATTAACTGGGAAGTAATGAAGGAATTAAACACACTGAATTTTGAGAGCACAAAGAACTGAAACCCACAAATTAATTAAGGTTCACAGCCCCCCTGTGCGATTCAGAGGTAATTGCTCAGTTCATGGTTCATGTGGGAGAAGAGGGAAAGGAATGTGGCACAGTTGTAGCAGCTCTGTAATGTAATAGAAGAAGCACAAGTGGTACTTCAGCCCCAAGAAGCATCTCCTGCCTCCCCTGCACCTCCTGGGGCTCACAGGGGACTGGAGAAGCTGGGCTTGTGTGCTCCGGTGTTGTGAATGGAGTCTGGACAGAGATCCCTGGCTCTGGTCCCCTCCCATTGCTTTTCCCCATTAAGCCCTGCAGCATCAGCCATGCTCTGCCAGGACACTCAGATGATTCTTGAGATCCCTACCCATAAGTGTTGGAGGATGTTGCTGTAATTGAGACAGGCAGCAGTAAAGTCAGCAATCCAGGCTGAATAATGTATTCACTGATGTGTTATCAGCTGGGAAACCTGTTGGTAATAAAAATACATGAGCAGAAGCAAGAGCACATGAATGTTTAAAGGGACGAGGCCGTTCTTGAGGATGACACTTAGGCGGGCCCAGTGTGAGTCTAGGTGTCAGACATATCAAAAGGCTGCTGTATGGAAGCATTTCAGCATGCCTAACATGCAGGGAGCACAGCTTTGCCTAAGGGATCTTATTTCATTCACCTAAAAATGAAAAGCATCACACCATACTCTGAAGATCAGTGAAAGATCCTGACATTGGACTCAAGGATCTCAAAAGTCCTTTCTAACCTAAATGATTTTCTCCTCTTCCAAGTAAAGCAGCAAGATGAGAGGAGATGGCTTCAAGTTGCACCAGGGGAAGTTTGCATGAGATACTAGGGAAAATTTCTTCATCAAAAGGGTTGTCCATCATTGGAACAGATTGCTTAGGGCAGTGGTGGAGTAACCATCCTTGGAGAGATTGAAAAGATATGCAGATGTGGCACTTGAGGACAAGGATTAGTGGTGGCCTTGGCAGTCCTGGGTTAATGGTTGGACTTGGTGGTCATAAAGGTTTTTTCTGACCTAAATGATTTCATGATTTTATGATTCCTGACCCTTATGTCAATAACAAATAGCGTCCAAAACCCACAAGCGGGAGACATCTAACAACAGGACACGCTCTTTTTCTCTTTTTTTTTGCAGAACTGGTTTTGAGGGCTGACATTGAAAGATGAAGTACTGTGTAGTCCCTCCCCTCATCCTTCAGTGAGATTGAGCCCAGCAGTGGGAGTTGAGAAGTGATCAGTAAAACAGATGCATCAGCAAAGAAAGAAAAGTCCCTGCTTTGTGAAAGGGAAATTAACTTTAACATCTTTGTTATAAGTCAGAGGAAAGGTTGGTGCTGGAATGGTGAGCTTTGAAGATTGTCATATTGTCATTATTCATTAATGACTACAAAAGAAGCTGCCTCTAAATGATAACATTATATGGAGTATAATGGGAAAACTGTGAAGCTTCTATTAGATCCCATTTACTCCCAAACAGTCCTTTGCAAATAACTTATTAACAAAACCCAGCAATATTAATCCGGTTTTGGCTACAGTGACATGTGTTGCTGTACAAACACTGCCAGGAGAAAAAAGAACCTAGAAAAACTCTCCCTGTATTTAGAGCAATAATTTAATAACTAAATTATAATAGGACAGGAGCTCCAGACTTATGGATGTCATAATGCAGTGGGAGGATTTTTGTCTGGCTGATGCAGGATGAAAAAGTAACAAAGAAATAACATAGAGAAAGGTGTGTCACCAGTGTTGTCAGAGGAATGGTGACATTGTACATAAGCTCTGGTTCTGAGACTGCCTCTGCAATGTGCTGAAAACCATGCTGAAAGGGAGGAACCTGATCCAGAACTGGACACAGTGCAGTGGGAAGACAATTTATTTCTCAGTGGATGCTCAGCCATGGCATCTCTCAGCAAGAGTGTTGTGGAAGTCACAGAAAATAAAGAGACTTTTACATCTCAAGCATGGGGAGCTCTGGGTGAGTTGCCATGTACAGCCCCAACCCAAGGGACCTCTGGACCCCAGGTGTATATTTTTTCCAAAGTTCTGCCTTTATTGTAGCCAGAGCTGGGTGACCTCTGCCTAGAGGTGAACTTTTTTTTCTGTTAGAGTGCATTATTCTACTTCCTGTACTAAAATGCAAATTAACTGAAAGCCTTTGTAAGCAGCTTATTCAATATGAGCTGTAATTTCAGCTGGGGCTGTAAAAAATTCTCTCTGTAAAACTTTTATCAAAGTTATTTTGTCTTATTATTGCTTTCTGTGACATGTCTGGATTTTCTAAACAGCAAATAATTCTGCACTTATCTTGGTTCCTTTGATAATATTTCTTATGACAGATCTACTGAGACTCTAGCTACATTATTAACATGAAAAAAGAAGAATGGGGACATTCTTTTCTAAATAACTCTGTGTAAACCCTTGCATGCTGCTGCTTAAATACTAATCATGGAAAGACAAGAAATGTATTAACCATATAGATTTATAAAAGTAATGTAACCAGATCTGCATGAGCTGTTGCTCAGAATAACGAAGGCAGTCATCCTTATGCTGGGCAAGGCTGATCTGCTCAAATGAGGCTTTCTGGAAGGTACAAGCAGTTGGAAGACTGACAAAGTGATGAAGTCGGTGATGTCAATAGGAGTCAAAGAAAGGTTGGCTGTGTCAGTCTGAAATCACACCTCAAACACTAGGGAATGATCCCAGGAGAGGACTGATGCACACACAGGTAACCCTAGTGCTCCCTCCAAATGTAGGGGTGGGGAAGGAGACTTGTTTTTCACTTCCTAACACTCCACTGCTCTTCCTTCATCCTCTTTTCTAGAAGTCAAGAGAATTGTTAGTGTGTTATTGCAGCTCAGACCCGTCTCCTCTGTCAGTAGGGCTAGTGGAACTGGAGAGGGCAGGATAACGCCCTCAATCCTCTGTCACTGGTTCCAGTCCACTCGGATATTTCAAGCTGTCTGTGAAAGACAGGCTCAGACCTGATATGCAAGACTCAGGCTGGGAGGTGATGACTGACAGGAGTGGGCATCAACTCTCAAGAAAATTGAGTTTCCTTTGGCATTCTCCAGAGAAGTTTGTGCACAGACACAGAGGGCTGGGAGTGCTGCTCTGTGAGCTTTGACTGGTCCTCCTTGTTTCCCCAGGCTGCTCAAGCAGCTGATATTCAGTGAAGAGAGAGAAAGTGACTGCTGAAAAGGAGCCAGAATCAGAGAGGTGCTGGGGATTACTTTTATGAGACAGACTGGGACAGGCTTTTGGACCATGCCAGCTATCCCAAATCCCTGTGAACAGGGTTATAAAACTTGACAAGGCTGCTGCAGATATTTCATGTCCTATTAAAGATGTAAAACAACTGACAGAGATGAACTGCTTACAGATGCTAACTCACTGCTGGCAAAGGAGGCTGACAGCAAGGGGAAGGTCAAACAAAGGATTTTAGTGGGTGATGATCAGAAACACACCCAAGTGGAGAGAAATGGCTGAATAGATGGTAAAAATTATAAAACATCACCAAACCAATCGCTTTGGCCATTCCTAATAAGTGGATGAATAGCGTACTTTGCCGGTCAGTTCCACATGCAGAGGAGAGTTGGCCTGTGACACCCATTAGCCAGGGTTTTATCCCAGCACAGACCATTCCCAGTCATTGAATTTAGAGCTACAAAGTTGATCAAGAGACTGGAGCATCTCTTACGAGGAAAGGCTGAGGGAGCTGGGCCTGTTCATCCTCAAGAAGGGGTGACAAAGAGGGGAGCTCATCCATGTCTATGAGTGTTTAAAGGAGGGCTGCCAAGAAGACGGACCAGGCTCTGTTTGGTGGTGCCCAACAGTAGGACAAGAGGCAACGGGCAGAAACTGATGCACAGGAAGTTCCACCTGAACATGAAGAACTTCTTTATATGTGAGTGACACAGCTAAATATATTTGTGAATCACAGCTAAATAAACAGGCTCATGTGAAAAGAAAACCCACTGGGTTTGTGTTTTCCAGTTGAAAAAGTATCTGCATCTGTTCATATTTAAATTGTACGCACTGTTCTGAGCTCTGCTTTGGCCTGAGGTGCTCAAGCTACTTTGAACCAACTGGTTCCAGTGGCAGTAGCCATGGGAATGCTGGGAATACACAGGAGTGGTGTCTCTGCCTGTCTGGTTGTGCAGGCACTAAGTGCAAACATGAGAGCGGATCATGCACACCCCACCTCAGCTCTCACACCTATCTCGAACCCAGCTGCCAAGGGGGTCTCCTCGCTAAGGGATGACCCTGGCTGAAGGTAAACTCTTCCTTCGGTGGGAGCTGACTGGGGGCTCTTAGCTGAGAAAGGCCCTGGCTGAGGGAGGCTCCTGTCTGAGGAGAGATCCTGACAGAGATGCTTGCTGACAGGAAACCCTGCCTGGGATGGGCACTGACTGAGGAGCTCCTGGCTGAGGAGAGATACTACACAACGCAAGCCCTCGCTGAGAGGGCACCCTGCTGCAACGGGCGCTGGCTGGGGAACTCCTGGCTGAGGGGATATCCCGGCCTAGGCGGGGACTGCCTGAGGGGCTCTTTCCGGAGTAGGGGGCCACATCCGGAACGTGCCGCAGCTCCTAGACGGTCCCGGCCGGGCCCGGCCCAGCACCGCACAGTCTGTGACAGGCAGCCCCGCGCCAGGAACGGGTCCCGGGCGCGGCAGGCCGGGAGGGGCGCGGCCAGTGAGGCCGGCAGGGCGCGGTGGAGACGGGAAGGGCGGAGCCTGGAGGGGTGGGGCCGGCGAGGCGGAGCTGGGGCGGCGCGGCGGGGCGCAGTCGGGCGGCAGCCGCGGCCGGGGCGGGAGCGGCGGCAGCGCGGGGTGGGTTGCGTCGCCCCGTGTTGCGGCATGTCCAAGACCCTGCGGAAGAAGCGGCACTGGCTGAGCAAGGTGCAGGAGTGCGTGGTGTCCTGGGGCGGCCCAGCGGGCCCCGACCCCGATCTGCTGCGCGGCGGCGCCGAGCGCGGCGAGTTCCCGTACCTGGCGGGCCGGCTGCCCGCGGGCGGCGAGGGCGCGCCGGGCCCCGCGCTGCTCTCGGGCAAGGCGCCGGCGCCGGGGGACGTGCTGCTGGAGGTGAACGGTACTCCGGTGAGCGGCCTCACGCACCGCGACACGCTGGCCGTGGTGCGGCACTTCAGGGAGCCCGTGCGCCTCAAGACCGTGCGCCCAGGTGAGCGCCCTCCGCCGCCGAGCTGGACCGAGGCCCTCCCGCCGCCGCCCAGCCGGCCGCGCGTAGGCCTGGCCGCGCCGGCGCCCTGCAGGGCGGCGGGAGGGCCGCGGCGGGAAGCGGCGCCCGGAGGCAACCGGGCGGAATCCGGGGCGCGGGTGCCCCGCTGGGAAAGTTTCCGCGGGTTCGGGACGGCGGCACTGCCGAGGGGGGTGATGTAAGGGGGGAGGCGGTCCCGGAGTCCCGGGGCGGCCCCAGGACGGTGCTCGCTCGCCCGTCCCGTCCCGGTGGCTTCTCCCGAGGGTCCTCTCCCCGCCCGGAATGCCCGGCTTGGCGCCGCCGCGATGCGGTGTTTGTGCGGGTGTGACCCTTGCGGGCCTCCGGGTGACTCAATGGCCCCCGGAGGGTCCGGTGCCTGCGTCCTCCTCTCGGAGGTGCAGGAAGTGCTTTCCGTGGTGTTTATATAATCCGCTGCTTGCAGAGGTCGAGGGTGGCTGGGGAATGGCCGGGATGGAGCACCGGACTGCCATCGCTTCATCCTGTCGGTTTCCCGTTTGGCAGAGATAAAAGCCCTGAGAACAAACTCCGGCTGTTCTTTTTTCCACAGATTTGTATTATTTTTGAGTACACTTCAATTAACTAATGCTTATGGTAAAATCATTTTTATCAACGTGCCTGTTAAATGTGAAATTAATGCTGAATAGTGGCACCTGCAGCTGCGTGAGTTAATTCATGAGCTCCAGAGGTACCTACTGCTTTCTTGGTCAGGCAACCTAGATGTGAGCCTGCTGCTTTATATGAAAGTGTCTTGGGAAAAAATATTTTTCTCTGAATCCCAGTGGATATCAGTATTTCTATTATAGACCCCCTGTGACTGGGGTCTGTAATATTTCTCATAGAGCTTCTTTGCTGAATACTTGTCTTGTTCTTCTTTGGTAATTGGTGGGTGCTATTTGACTTCATGTAATACATATTTTAAGTCAGGTTTTCCCTGTTTGACCACTAATGGAAAGTTGTCTTCTATGTAGAGACTGTGCTGTTGGTCCTGATTCATATGACTTGCTAAATTAAAACAACAATCAAAAAAATGAAACAGACGCACATCTTAAAAGCACCTACAGAAGCTTGGTAGGTTTTGAAAAAGGTCTTAATTTACAAAATTGGAAATCTTTTCTGAAGGGAGAAAATGGAAAAGAACAAACAGCTGCAAGTTAGATGTGAACTAAGAGGATTTTAAAAAGAGGGACAAATTGTTCAAGATAGAAAATAATCTCTTCTTAAAAGAGAAAGCTTGTGGAAGATGAAACTATAGATCAAAGGGATTTCTTGTATTTCCTATGGAGGGAAATAGGAATTTTCTTGTGCTGGGAATTTCTACAGCAGCGATGTCAAACTGTCAAAACTGCCAGAAAAGATTTAGAAGAAATTGCTGAAATTAGCAGTAGAAAATGGCAAGAGCCAGATGATGATCCTGAGGACTTCCAGGTATCAAGTATTAATAGTAGTGTGTTACCTGTTCCTTAAATTCTGGGTGGTGCGGAAGGAATAGTAGTGGGGAATATAGAGTACTGATGAGAAAAGGATCCAGAAGATCAACAGAGGCTGGTTGGTGATTCCAGCAAGTTGATTAAAATTTGAGTTTTAGAAGAGAAGGAGAATATTTGGGATGTGAACCAATACCACTTAATGAGGAGAGAGGGCTGCTTTCACTGGCTGGTTTAATCAAATCTGAGTATTTTGGTGAGGTGGATTTTCAAGTAGGCTTTCAGTAAGGTATCACTGACTTGGATGAAGATCTTGCTGAGTGAGCATGGTGTGGCAGTGTAGCTGCCAAAATACAAGAGCAGAATTCTCCTGTGGCTTAGTAACTGGTTAAAACAGAGGAATGGTTTTTTCAACAGAAGAAAACTGCTGCTGGAGTCTTGTAAGGACCTGTGCTGTTTAGCATAGTCATCCAGAGCTTGTAAACCCAATGCTGGTGAGTTGCACAAAGAGAAGTAGCATTTTTGTGCTGATTTTATGTAACTTTTGGAACAGATAAAACTGAATCTTCAGATCCAGCAATTTTTCCTATACTGGGACATATGTACCACATCAGATGATTTTTGTAGTCCTTTTCTCTGTTAGATTTAGTGTCCTTGAATATGGTATTTTGAAACATACTGGTTTTTGGTTGTTTTTTGCAAAGCTGCTGCAGCTGCTCAGTGGCGGTTTTCCAGTCAGGGTATAGGTAATTAGGAAAGTTGTTGACAAGGCATTCTCTATGAAGACCGATAACTTTGAATTTGGCTTCCCTTTTGATCCAGAGGCATCCAAACCTGCCAAGTTGTGGAAGGCATCTGGGAAGGTGCATGGGACCATGTGGGTGGTTGAGGCGAAGGGAGTGAGGGCCAGGAGCTGGTGGTCCCTGGTAGGCACATAATATGTCTGCATTCTCAAGGACATGTAACTGCGTTACTGCGTTTCAAGGTCCTGTGTTTCATGATTTTCCTCAGTCAAAACTGAAACCATCATTTGAAAGGCACGGAGTGTTCTGCCAGCAGACCTTTGTATGCCTCATGGCTCTTCAGGCTTGGGTGCTATTGGGACAGAAGACTGAGGGGATCTATTGTCAGGGGTTGACAGTGAGGGATTTGTCTCCTTGAATCTGAATGGTAAGGTGTTTTTAAGGTCTTGATGCTCACAGTCTCCCTGTGCATTTTAAAGGGTGAGTTTGGTGCTCCATCTTCCTGGTGAACTCTGTGCAGGTGACCTTGGGCAGCAGGATCTGGACTGCTTTCGTTCAAGTCATGATATAGTCACTCCCTCATTAAAGGCAGTAACAGCTTTAGTTGACAGCAGTAAAATCTGTGATACTTCTTGCAAGCTCATGGAAAATTTTAAATGGAAATTTCAAAATGCTGTTTAGGCTTGTTTAAGACACTTGAAGGATATGAATGTTAATTTGAACGCCATCTGTTAACTGCACACATCACAAATGATGGACCATTTTGTTGATTAAGAAATTTGTCCTTCCCATTTTTGTTCTGTCTTTATTACAGAATTACACAATCAACTAGGTTGGAAAAGACCACTGAGATCATCAAGTCCAACCTATGACCTAACAGCATCTTGTCGACCAATGCCATGGCACTAAGTGCCACTTCCAGTCTTTTCTTAAACACCACCTTCACCACCTCCTTGGGCAGCCAATCCAATGCCCAATCACCTGTTCTGTGAAGAATTTCTTCTTAATGTCCAACCTGATTAGCTGAGGAGGGAGAACAAGACCAGTGTGCCAGGGCTGAGTATCATGTCCCATGTGAGGATAGTCTCAGGTGTGTGCAGACTAGCCAGAAAATCCAGAGGTCCATTATGGATAGGGATTGACACAGCATAGTCTGTGGAAGGCCAGTGTTGAGTACTCTGCCAGTGGCACTTGGGACTGATGCTGGGATCTAAGCTGTCTAAATAAAACTTAAATTCTAGAGGAACTTTGAGATGATAACCATACCTCTGTTTATGTGTAGTTTATCATTATCATCTTAATTAGATGAGCAAAGCAGCCATACAGAGAGCTAGGGCAGCTTGTGCAGTGGGATATCTGTATGGATGTGCACGGAAGCTGCCAGGGGCCAGCTCATCCTAATGAGTCCATTTGTATTTTAGCCGTGCTTGGGTAGTGCTGGTTTTCAGCTAATTGCCTGCTTACATGCATTCAAACAATGGCTGCTGTGTGCTCAAGGACCTTCCCTGTCTGGCATTACTTGGATTAGGGTATTAGCCTTGTAACTGGCCAGTGCTGCTGCAGGGTCTTCTATTTCCATTAGTGAAATAGAATGTTGTAGTCATAGCCATGGTATTTGAGTGCTAAGTTCATCCTCTATAGGTATCTACTTTCCTTCCAGTACGTGAAAGGAACCTACAAGAAAGGTGGATATTTTTGGAAGCACAAGTTGCGATAAGACAAAAGGGAATGGATTCAAACTGCAAGAGAGTAGGTTTAGATTAGATATCAGGAAAAAAAATTTTATTGTGAAGCTGGTGAGGCATTGAAACAAGTTGCCCAGGCTGTCCCATCTCTGGAAGTGTTCAAGGTCAGGTTGGACAGAGATTGGAGAAATGTGGTTGCGGCGTAAAACTTTGATGGTCTTAAAAGTCCCTTCCAACCCAAACCAGTCTGTGATTCTGTGATTGCATAAAATTTATGGTTGCCTGCATATTCAAGGGCCCTGAGCAACCTGATCTAGGGGTGGTATCGCTGCCTGTGGTGGGAGGATTGAAGCTGGATGGTCTTTAAAGTCCCTTAAAACCTAAAACCATTTTAGGATGGTGATTCTGTGATGATTCAGAATTAGGCAGAAGGATGTTTGTATGTGCAAATGGGGTTGCTAAAATACTCATCAGGACAACCCTGGGTGCCTTCTTTCTTCACAGCAGCATGGTAACTAAAATACACCAAAACTAGACTGGAGACTTAAAGTAAGAAAAACTACTGATATCTACAAGTTCCTCTTTCTGCAGGCTGAGTTGCCAGATACTATGTAGGAAGGAATGTGTTCTCCTTCCAGATTAAGGAGCTTTGATGAATACAGCTACTCTGTGTCAATTACTATACTTTCATGGCCACTATGAGGAGGATGTGGGAGGAAATGGGCAGAGTCTTAGGGCTCTTCCACTTGAGAATGTTTCCGGAGCACATAGTTTGGTTCCTTGGTTTTGGAGCAAATGCACCTTGGCTCCATTGTGTCAAAACTGATCTTTAATCAAAAAATGCAGCAAGATGTAAAAGGAAGAAAAGTCTTCTTCAGGTTAACTTTTTTTTCAGTGCTCCTGAAGCTGTTAAACCGTGATTTCCTATAGTTTTGTTTCCTAGAGTTTTCTGTTCAGTTGTGGCTGGAGCTCTTCCTCCAGCTGGTGCATTTATTTTGTGTCTCCAGTCAGGATTGCCTGGCCTCTGGTGAGTCTCAGTTTGTGCTTTGATTTTTTTTTTTTTTTCCAGTGAAACACGTGGAGGACATCCC